TCATTAATCACGGGTTTTAATTAATTGCGCAAAATGATAATTGCTGATTTTATACATGGGACGAATAGAACTTTTCATCTCGGAAAGGATTTTTCTTGTTTTCTTTCTTATTAATACGGGGGACTCCGTCCCCTACTATAATGCAAAGCACCATGAATTTGTGAGATTGATGTTATTACTCAGTTATACTGGGATTTTGTGGTTCTCGTTTCATTACATTGGTGGAATAAATTTCCACTTTAAAAATTCCCTTTACTACGTAGCGGGATAGCAGGGTCGGGGACGCGGAGACTCTCGCTCGACAGGCGACCGTTTTACCACTGAGCTATCCAGCATCCCCTTTCCTTTCGAAAGGCTAATAACACGCATACACGGAACGCAGCGAACGCCGCTACGTACCGGCTTGAATGGCAGCACCATGACCTTGTGTACAGAGTGGTCGGCTATACGCCACGAAAAAGCGCCAAGGCCGTACGCGCCAGCTGATTTCTTGTCGCTATGAAATATTTCGCGTGCCGTGTACGATAAATATCGAATATATTCCGTTTTTTTTTATCAATTTCGATAAATGACTGATTATCGCACGTTACAAATCTAACATATTTATTTCAGAACTACATTTCGTTTTGTTTTTAGATCGGGAGAGTATTTTTGTTAAATAATTTGTTGTTACCTACTTTATGTTAAATTTTTACGTTTCAAGAGGAATAAGAGTACGCGTGTCTAATAAAACAAGAATTTTTTTCTTTTTTCTTTAATTAATGAAAAAAATAAAATTTACTTGCCGTAAAAAGTGTGGTGATTTTTTTTTAACGTCTTGGAATCACGCAATTTTGCTTGTTTGCGGAACGTATAGAGCCGAAAGAGGTCAATCATAATAAGAAATTATATAATTTTTATTTTTTTTATTACGGGACAAAGACAACCGTTATTTTGCAAATATAACTATTTATAATCGTAACTATTATGATCTCTATCTCTAGAATTCATTATTAAAGTCAACAAGCAAAGTAAAAGATGGACTTTGGAGAGCACAACGCGATTAAGTTAAGATACAGTGCGTAAGTTAACGTTATAACAATCTTTAATTCATCAATGATGCGGTAACAGTTAAATCAGAACAATTTCGTCTCCGACGAGTAATAATAGGTGAATACTTCCTAGGTTGGGTGATCTACAGATAGTGCAATTTTTCGTGAGAATATCCAAGTAAAATTTTGGCTAATCATAGTTTGTAGTATAATTGAAACAGAAATGACGGTCAAAACTTGAACAACAAAGAGAAGTGAAGTCATTCACTCAGCCAGCTCAGAGAACAAAAGAATGAGCATCGAAGGCGTGGTAAAAAACATCTAAAAGTAATACAATTTTGAAGTAGAGGTATAGTTATTACAATTGAGACAATGATGCATTCAACAGCTCTATGATTTTAAATGACCACTGCCTCGTCCGGCTGTCAAACAGTGACATTATTAAAGTGTTACGTGTGATTTTGTGCGATGGCACGGCAAATATAAAACAAACCACGAGATCGCGTTATAATTCACCGTCACTATAATTCATTGTTTTTATATAAGTCCATCGGACATCTGAATTATGTGGGCACATGACGAATGTGTGTTCGATGAAAATTGGAAAGCATAAAGCAATTTCTCCAAGTCTATATCGACGAGGAAAATGTAATCAAAGGTAGTGATTTGGATAAATGTAATAAGATGCCTCTAAAGCGAGAAAGGAAAGCGAGAAAGGAATATATAATCTATTTCCATTTATTCTTCAACGAACTAGGAAGCAATACGGAAATTGTCAATATATCAAATGTTCGCACAATCACTTGAAGCCTGCTTTCAATCGTGATTAATTGTTAATTACGCGATAATGCAGTCACCGGCTTAATAATAAGAATATATGGGAGTCGCGAAAAAAAAGAAGAAATCTAAAGGCAATATGAGTTCGCTTTATTAATTACAAATTCTAATTATCATATTATTACTATTTCACTGTTTCTCAACGCCTTGCCAGCCGTCTAACGTTCTGTTGCACATCAAAAGCTGTTATCTTATTTATCAAGCGCTCGAGCGATGAATTAAAACTGCTCGCTATTTGCAATTCATATTAGCATTCGTCATCTACCGCCGACCGGTGATTCGATCATTTTTTTTTTCCACATCGCGAGAGACATTCGGGCATTAATCTTAGACCCGAGACGCGCTCGCGTAGGAATTAATTCAGAAATGGTTCCCCGGCGATGACGTCGATGCGACTCCACTTGCTGTCAGCCGGCGAAGGTATCTAAGCCCGCAAGAAGTGCCGCTATGTCCCACATAAGAGCCGAGGCGGCGGAGGATGATTCTGGGACAGCCGACCGGCGCGTTCGGTTATTACGTACCTTCCGGGTCCGGCTTGCCGTTGGTTCTTTTCGGCTCTTAAACCTGATACCTTTAACGGATTCGGTAAATTCCAATATTTTTATTTTTACTTATTACGAAAAGAAAATAGACTTGTATAAAAAGAATAAAATTACTTCCGTGTGACGAGTCGTAGATATTTTGTAGAAATTTTTTTAATGAGTTGGTTTTGAAAATTGGTCTGTTATTTATCGTTGGTAAAACTCCTGCGGAAATTAATTTCCACTTTTTAATTTGAGATTAATCTAATTTAAATTTTCTCCTTTATTTGAAATATATATAGTTTGTGCTGACCGTGCGAGAGGAATGACAAGCAGAGTCGCGAAGCGTTCAATGGACATTTTCCTATTAAAATTACTTTCGGAACTACAATCATAGAGTAGTGTGTTAGAAGTAAGTGAAAAAAATAAGAGAAGATTTACGAGCAGCTCTTTTGCCACTAAATGCCATGACTTGTCCTTTCTCTGCTTATTATTCTACTTCAAGACCGCAGATGGTGGTTGAACCACTTAACTCGTAATTCAGCGTATCCTTACTCACTGAGATAACGCATTCGCCGTTTTTTGCCGTTATTACGATGAAAAAGCCCGTACGTGATTATACGAGTGCAGAGTGTTACGCAATTTTTTTTTTTTTTTTTTCCATAAAGTTACTACGACGATTTTAGAATCGCGTCCGCGCGGCGAGACGGAAGCAAATGTTTTTCCCGCGTACACCAGGAATTGTCTGATTATGCGTTACGACGCGACAAGTGGATCACTGGCACGCACTGGAAACTTCTGGCGCTATTAGAACAGAGCCACACGGCGTCTTTGTCGACCGGGAGATGTTCTATCTCGCGCGTCGGTTCTTCTCCCGCACCGATTTTTTGGATCCCGTTCCAAGTCGTGGCACATCGATCGTGTTCTTCGGCTTTGGCTGTCGCTCGGAATGCGCTCCTCTTCGTGCTCGACACCCGCTCGCATTCCAACGCATTCAGGAAAAACTACTTCCTGAATTAACCATCGGTTAGCATCACGCATCGCCTCATCACCGATAGCGTGAACCCTTCATCATGCTGTCAGAATGTGTGCAGGATGTTAAAGGATGGGCTGGAACAAAGTTGCTCGACGTCATTAACTAACAGTAATTTTTATCTGACTCGCCTCTTCGTGGTAACGTTATCCAATCCGAACTCTGCGCACATTTCTGTGAGGCTATTATTTAATTGCCTCGTAAATTATCATTAGGTAATTCACGATATAATGAAAAAGATAGAAAAAAAGGAAATCCCGTTTAGATGCACGAAAAGAGAAGCTTCTTTATTTTTTAGAATTTTTAGATATTTCAATATTTTTTGTATTAAACTATTATATTATTATAATTTTTTACTCGTAATATATTTTTATGTAAAAGTAAAATACTGAAAAGATAGAAACACTTTCGAAAATAATTTAATTTTTTCATAAAAATATAAATTTTGCTCTCAGTATGAAAAGTTTGATCGTGTTCTCGTTTTTGACTGACGTTGTGCCGAAAATTGTTCAGTCAACAATAAAATACGCATCTCGCCGTTACGTATCAATTCGATCTGGAGCATTGCGGTGTTTATTGCACCGTAACAACGAAATGAATATTATAACTTTCACGGGCGCGCATAGATGCTGATACTGATATCAGCATCCATACTCGTGAAAGTTCGGCTATTCACTTTTCTTCCTGATCTAATACGAATGTCGACTTCCTGATCTAGTTCGATGTCGCCATTTTGCTTGTAATTATGCCCGGTTTTCCCCCTATTCTTCTAGAATTACGAACCTTGAAACATTAATGTTATTATGGTTTGTAGTCTCTATTTTATGCAAATGGATTTCAAAGTTTTTTTTTTCAAAATTGCGTTCGCGTTACGTACTTATTATACATAATTATTATAACACGTAATTACTATTTATAGAAAATATAACTTTCTATCGTGCTGTATCATGTCATTTTGAATCGAGTAAAATGACGATGAAGTAAATGCTGAGAATCTTTTTACGTGTAAGTTTCAACATGACTGAATTTGCGTCTCCCAGAGTGCTTCATCGAGCACTTATCTTCAAAGTGCACTCCGGTTCCATTGTCGCAGGAAACAAATCGAATTTAAATTCGTGCCCTTCCGTCCCTCCCTGGGTACGGGAACGCTCGAGGCATTCGAGAGATATACCGTATCGCCGTCCGGCCCGCGTGTGCACCGTGTACGTCAAGTTCACCCACTTCGGGCATCGATCGTCGTCGGCGGCAGCGGCAACGAGCCTCTCGCTCGCGCGCTTAGCATATACGCGTTGTATATCCCGGCGGTAACGCGACAACGGGCGACGAGCGAAGGTTGTTCAACTCGGGCGGATCTTGTAGCACCGTCGGGTATAACGGGTCCTAAGGCCCGCGCACGCTGCCGGCCAGGCACGCTCCACCTTCGTTCGGCTCGCCTCCTCACGGCTAGGCGAGCGAGCGCGCGCCTGCACCGTATACCCTCTTCCTCGGCCCGCTACGAACCTTCTCCAACCTTCTCCAACTTGGGTACGCGCGAGTACGACTTGTCGGACAGTCAGTCAGCCGTGCACCATTGTCGAAAGATCGTCCGGGTAGTCGACACGCGTCTTCCGACACTCTTCCTCGCTTCAGTCCGCTTCGTCCGGTGTCGCGAAATCGCGATCTGTTCTTCTCCTTTTTCTCGTCGCGAATTTTCGAATATCGCGATACCCGGTCGGATTCCGGAGTTTATTCTGAGCTTTCGAGTTTCTTCCGGTGGTATTTCTTCTTTTCTTCCGAACAGGTGATAGTCAAAGGGCTAACGCGCGGATCCGGGCGGGTTCGGTGGTGCACGGTAAAAGCCGTTTCACGGTTTATTTTCGCGATCGGGCGCTCCGCGAGATCGTCGGGTGTGTGTAGCGATCGCGTTTGAAGTGATTCGATGCTCCATCAAATTAACTGATTGTGACAAGGTAAGACCTTGATGTCCTTTGTTAAGTAGCATATTTGATTCATTGAATTATGCGAATTTGCTTAAACATTTGCTTTTTATCAAATTTTCAATTTTTTTTGTAAATATTTTGCACGAATATAATTATTTTAAAAGGTACCACATAAATAAAATTATTTAAAAATGCACCACATAAATGAAATAATAATTGGTTTTTTTTTTAGAAAAATCCAAACAAAGTTACAATCAATATGAGCAAAAATGTAATTTAATATTTACAATATCTTTGCTGATAGTCTCGATTGATGTTTTTCTTAATTTTTCTCAATCGAATGTTGATTATTAACCGAATGAATTTTGTCTGCGTTTGCCGGCTCGTGCATTGGTCCATAAATATCCTCTCTTGAAAAAAATATCAATTGCATTTTGCAACATGCAACCGTCTGAACGAATATTATCTACGCTTATTAAATGCTATATTATAAATTACGATATTATAAAAAGTTCGTTTTAAAGATAACAGATACAAAAGTAACGGAATTTGTTCAAAATAATTAATAATGAATTTCCGCATTTATAATTATATAACGGTTGCGAATTTTAATGGATGCGCGAAGATATTATCCTGTTATCGAGAAATGTAAATGAGAGATATTATAACATTTATAACGACGTTAGGTTACAAAAACGAACAGAAGCATTGCCCGGCTCAGGATTCAAGATAGGTTATAAGTAGCTGATAAATTACACTTGTATCTATTTCATTGCGCCACAGCTCGCAGTCACTTCCTCGTGAAGAGCACGCTGCTCTCCTTCCTGTTTCTCCCTTTTTTTGCATCATTACGTTACGTGTTACACTTGTTGAATCGTGTTGCACGGATGTTTTACTATATTGTCTCATTAGGTGATTAAAGGTAATGGGACCATTTTTGGAATTTATACGCCACGCTCCAAAAGAGGCCTGAAAATGAATGCACAGATTATCTTAATATGCTCGTGACCTATTTCTATCGGATCGAACGTTGATTATTGAAAATAAGTTTGGAATTATCTTTTTATCATTAAAGTTTTTTGTCGATTTAACGTCAAATTATATATAATTTTCATAAATTTAAAATAACCAGAAAATTAAAATTTTATTTATCTATTTAAATCTGCAAAGTTTAATTAGTTCTTAAACATTTTCTTTTATGTTATCATAATTTATAAAATATCAATATAGAAATGTGTTTTTGCTAATGCAAACTCAGTCCGATTTCCAACAAAATCGCATTAAATACAGAGTATCCTTGGACCCAGTGCTAAAACTGATACGGCTTTAGCACATGAAAACAAGTTGAAAATGTCTAATAAACATATTTTGATATCCGAACGGTTTTGGAGTTAGGTTTACAAAAAGTGCTAAAAAATTCCTCCGTCGACTTCATAGATCCACGACGATTTAGAACTATGGCAACTGAACTTAATGCTGCCGTTGTCATTCGTGAAACTTTGAACATTTTTTAAGAGGTTCGAAACAATTCGTGCTAGAAAGTGTGGTGAAGTCGGAGGAATTTTTAGCACATTTTGTAAAGCTTTAAACAGAATAAAGAACATTAAACAATATTTACTTTAATTTGTGTTCTTACAAAAGCAACTTCAATACCTTATAACTCCGAAACCATTCAGATTTAGACATATGTATATTTATTAGATATTTTCTTGTTTTCATGTGCTAAAGCCGCTGTTTTGGCACTGGGTCCAGGGATATACTCCTGTATATCGCAGAATACTTTATTATCTTAAACACATTTTTTGAAATTATTAATGTTCCGGCAAAAGATTAAATTCATTCATGTACAAAAAAGGGTAAATTGTCGTTACATTTCTCTTATAAATACTTTCGTATAAATACTTTCAATTTTCGCTTGTTCTCTTCTCTTTCGCTTCCTTTATCTCTCTGTCATTGAATTATTTAGTCTTTCACGCTTCAATGAAACTGTTTCTCATAATGAAAGCTTCATGCCGATGAAAAGATAACCGTTGCATCTTTCGCGATAACGAAACAGCAAGCATATTATCGTTATTAATGTAGGCTAAATTAAAGATCAATAAGAGGCACTTTTGCGTGAAAAAACCGTCCATTGCGCGAAACGGTCACGGTGGAGGCGTATCTGATTTCCATAACACAGCCGCTTATCTATCCTCTCTGAACGAGATCAGATCTGGTCGCGTTGAAATTAATGCGCTTTACTGACCCGGATCGAGAGACGTGCCTCTCAGCCGATCGTTCTTACCATTCTTCATGCCTTGTCTCGTTTCGTTTCTTATCCGCCGTGATCTAATTCTAGCGGCGATGGATGTTCGACGCTCGTTAGAGCGCAAATCTGTTTGTTATAAATAGCGTGTCTTTATTGCGCGCGCGATCTTTTCCGCTGGCGTTCAGCGTTCCGGAAACGGGGATCTCGTTCTTTTAGCGATCTCGGGAATATCACGAATAATCTTCGGCGATTCCCTCTATCAAGCCGTCGCGTCGGCTTGGAGATCGATATATACGTTTCGAAGTACTTCTGTTTCTTCATTTGAACATCTCCTATAAAATTTATGATAACGTCGGATTTTAAGGAAGTAATATTTTGCTGATGCATGCATTTAATGAGTTTACAAGATATTGCGTTACCATTTCCCTTTTTGGTTATAATCTGTTAATTTATTTCTTGTTAAATATTAAATTTCGCTTCTTATTGAATGAGTTGAATGGGTTATAGAGAGGGGAGAGTAGTTCCCTGTAAGTGCATTTGCGTCTATTTACGCTAGAACGTTTCGGAAAATTGCTACGCGTGCTCGCCACCGAAAATAGTCAGTGCGTAAATAAAAGGAGCATGAATAATAATAATTATTGTTGCGTACAACGGTTCTGTTCATTAAAAAGAGAGATGAAACTATCAATTGTATTCAAATAATTATATCCAAATTGAAATTCTTGTCCGATTCTCGTGATGATATTATCTTAAATTAAAGCAATTATACTACACGCTATATAATAAAGTTATTATAAGCTTGACAAATAATATATACATATAATCTCGTTATTTAACATTTTTTAAATTATTAATTTTAAATAATATATTTTCGCGCAACACCCTCGAAAAGTTCATGATATTTGAAAATTAAACCTAACTCGACACGCTTAAAATTTTAATGTTTATACTTAGCAATGAAATAATTGATAATATATGCTTGATTAATATATCACTCAATAAATTCGTTCAAAATTATGAATCTCTTCATAAGATTGTTTGCAACTCGGCAGAATCGCCTGCGAGCGGTTTTCTGGTTCGTGAAGAAACATTCAAATGGTTAACGGTACCCTTGCTCGTAGAATTCGCGCGTCGGATTCTACCGGCTATTCTACCGATGGAATAATGTCTTGTCGGACTTCTCGCACACTTCGACCGCTCACGTTTCCCCTCGAGATGCACGACGCGGCGGCGTCACATACGATGGACTCCCGAAGAAGATCGACGCCCGTTCGGTACCGTTAGCGGACACGAATATAAAAATGAAAAAAATGCAACGGTAAAAAAAGAAACAACCGCGTGACAATCAGCTGCGATCGTTAGAGAATTCCATTCGTGATGTTAATGTTAGGGTTTACAGTGCGTCGGGCCTCCTTCAGGCCGAGGTTGAAAGCCTTCGTTAAAACCTTCGGTTGTGGAGATTTCAACGCGGGAGAAAGAACGTTCCGTTCGTTTATGATCGTGCAGCCCCCTGCCGCGCGCCGTCACGCGTCCGCGACCGCTACAGACGATATTTAAAATCTTACCTGCATGATGTACAGTTTTCGCATATTTAATTTGTACAAATATTTAATTTATATTTATTGATTACAATTCTTATTTAGGGGACGATTGTCACAATTTTTACTAGAGTTTTAAAAGGTTCTGACAAAGATTTTTATTTGCGTTGCAGACGTCTACGCGAATTTCGTGCCGTGACGTCTGCAACGCAGATAAAAGTCTTTTTTAGAAACTTAGAATTGCGCAGATAAATGCTTAACTTACGTCAATGGTAAAGTAATGCTATTGTTCGCATTCCGCGTGCATAGACGATTGGAACAATCGGAAATGAGCATCGAATACGAATATACTTTCAATCGAGACCTTAGTTGACAAATCGGTGATCAGAAATTCACGTCACGCAGTCTATGTAAACTCGCCAAGAGTCAACCGTCTCGACAGTTGCGTCAGTGGTAACCATTGACGATCGCATGCATTTTGAGTTTTTTGATTATTTTGCCCGATAGCAAAACTCTTGGAGGGTATTCTCATATCTACGGTCACTGAAAATTCATATATGTATAATAGTTATAAAGAATACTTGATTCAGATATCCATCTCTGTCAGAGTCAGCATGACAGTATGCAACGTTAGTTTTAACGTTGTTTAATATGCGTCTTATATATGTATATAAATAACACGAAAACTTATTTCTTACATCACCGTTTATATACATATGATTTTATTTGTGAAATAACAAGAGGTAAATTATAGCGAAAAAAGAGAAAGAAAGAGAATTAAATTATACTACAATAAATTAGAGAATAACATTCAGTTATTATTTATTCGCACTTTATAAAGCACTTGTATCGTCGGATTATCGTAAGAACAACTGTTGAAACATAAGTACACAGTACGCAGATACGAATTTTTGCAATATATAACTGACGCGTATCCGTCCGCATGAATATTAACGCAAGCGTCGCATCTTTGTCGGTCATAAAATTAAAACCTACGACTTCCGCGCGCTTGCTCCACCGCTTCCGACCGTCGCTTCTTCCCTCGCAATCGCTCCTTTCGGCGATCACGCAAGATCGTTTTTTTTTGCGACCGGTGGCTTCTCTTTCCTGTTGACTGGTTCTCTCGATGTGACGCGGGGCAACGAGAGATCCATCCGAGATCTAGATTGTTTGCTCAAGATCAGGTTCAGGCGTTTGAGTGTAGGTCATCGTGTCGAGGACAGCCTCTATAGCCTCGCGAATCGAGATTCGCGAGATAGACGATCTTGCCTTTTTATAATTCGTCGCGCATCGTCCTCAACGATGTAGTTCCCAGAATTCGTAAAGAAGTTGAACAAAATTTTTCGACGCGGTCTCTTAGATCTCATTTTAAAATATTTTTTTCTTGACTTTTGTTTCAGTGCGAAAATGCGGATGCAGCTGCTGAAGATCGTGGTGGTCCTGTTGGTGGCAGGATCGGGCGATACCAGGCCTCAGAATGGTGGGTATCCCACACGGAGAATCATACGACGACAATGTATATTTCGAGTTATGACGCGATCGGAAGTGATCGGTGCAATGAAACGATTATTTAGCAATGAAACCGTGCAACGTGACGATTAAGCTGGCGGGCAGGAAACGATTTTCTAAACGCGAAATTGATGCTTTGTTCGCGGTGCAATCGTAGCCAATGAACCATGCTTATTCAATTGCAGATCTGTTATCTTTTAATATATCTTAATTGCGGCAGCCTGAGAATGATCAAATAGCGAGTAGTGATTAGTAGATACCGATAGTGTTCGCGCCGACTTTGTAATTCACTCGGCAGTGATTTGTATTTAAGTATGTAACAATTGCATTTCTCGCTCTTTCTATGTAATAACGAGTTATTCATCTCCTTTTCCGAAGGATTGAATTTGTGTGCTCAATGTTCCAATTATGGAGAAAACGCATATATGAGGCGCATCAATCGCGTAATTACTCAATAGCATCAATTCTTGTAGCGTGTCGGATAACAACCTGTCTTCTTCGTAGAGCCGCAATTACGCCGCTGCTTCTCGTGCGTTAACGTTACCACCCGCGTTTTTCTTGCAAAACCGAATTTCTTAAGGCGGAAGTGTTTAACTTGGCAGTCGCTTGAATTTAAGGCATTGAGAAATCTTTGCGTCGCAACGGAATAGTGATTTTACGTGTTTGGTTATTATTAACGCATTATTGGCGAGCTTTGTCGACGTTGCGTGTCGGCAGGTTTGCGTGTCATTAGAATTTCTGTGCAAAATTCAAAATAATAACTTTTCCCTTTTTTTACCTTTTAGGCGTGGATTTGCAAGCGACGACGACGATAGAAAGGAGCGACGCGGAATGGAGAGGCATCCAGGTTTCGAGCAAGTCACACGACATTGTTCGAGACGATAGCAGGTATACAGGGACTTCCGGAAGTAATAGAAAGTCGTATATCACATATTTCCGCGATAGTGCTGATTCGTCGCGCGAGCATAACGCAGTCGGTTCACACGCGAGCGATTTCGCTCAGAGCGCGACGGCGACGCGATCGTTTAGCGCTCGTCGTTCCAAGCTCGACGACATCTGGACGATGCCTGAATCCAGAGCGATAATCGCTCCTCCACATTTTTCAAGGACGGATGTGTTAGGTAAAATTGCGAGAATCGCCACGGTTCGAAACTCGAGCGAGGCAGATCTTCGAGGATCTTCGCTTCACGTTTCCTCGAGCAATTCTAAAACAATTCAGAACGAAAAGATAGGCTGGGCAGGATTTAGTCCCGATTTAAGAGTCGTTCGAACGAATTATTCCGGAACGATGAATAATGGGAATTTAGAGAGATCGAAATCTGGAGTGACTGCGAATGAAAATCTTGAATCGGTAGTCGCTCGAACGAGGTACTCGTACCCGACAGGAAACGATTTCTTGGCAACTCATGCATCTGGTTCGGAGAAGATGGATGACGATATCTCTGTCGCGGTAGGAAATCGTCGGAAGTCAAGCTCGATTAGGTCCGATTCATTCGCGAATAAGGATATTGAAGGCGAGACGTCACGTTGGAAGTCAGAGCGGGGTGTAAATAGATCTTTCTTGCAAATAGGAAGGACGAACGTTCCGAGTAATTCTCAACAGGTAGACGCTGCTACTCGTTCTATTCATAAAAATCGCAATTTGATTCGTAAAAATACAGACCCGGTCGTACTTTCGCACGAAAATTCAAAGTCGGGTGTCATCACTGATTCTCTCCGCCACTTTGGCGGCAATGGTTTGAATAATTCAAAAAGATCGGCACACGGGACGAAGACGTCCTTGGTCCCACATTCGAAATCTGACGTCGTCGATCACAGTCGTTTCCCGCACGGAAACGCAGTTACTCATAGAAGTTTCGTTAAACTCCGGCATCCGTACTTGAATTCGAGTCGGCGGAACGCCAGCGACGTTGCGTCGAATACGAAGTTGAAGAATGGCAACGACGCTGGTTCTACCGGTATCGAACTGAAACAGCCAGCGAAGGGCTATTTAACGAGAACAGCTGCGAAGAAGCCCGGTTCGAACAATCGCGCGACGTCCAAACCGACGAAGAACGGTCATTCCTCGTCCGTTCAGAAGTCGCCGAGTCAGGAAGTCGATGGTGGGAACAAAATAAAGGACGAGCACGGCGGTACGTCCGTGCAATACAGCGCGCACTTGAAGAACTGGCCGAACGAGGCACTTCAGGACATGGAGGATTTATACAATTACGAGAAATACACCGCGTCCTTGGAGGACACGAGTCACGAGTCGGGTCTTTCGGACGCTGACGGAACGCCGATTCTGTCGTCGAATAATTACTTTGACACGGACCCGATCCTCGACTCCAGCGTGAAGAAAATCATTCACTGGTTGAAGGTACCGGCGATCGTTCCGAACAGTACAACACAATTTTTGGATTACACTGACGACAAAACGACCGAGCCGGTCTTCGAATCGATCTACGAAAACTTGGAGCCTAATCGTCCGTTAAACGATTACGTCGACAATTATGAGAGCGTCGTTTTTCAGGATACACCGCCGAATCAAGATCTCGATAAAACAGACTCTCACGCGAACTATCCGATCCAATGGTCAAACCCGAGTTCACTCGTTCGTCCTCAATACGTAGGGTCTTCGAATTCTTCCGCTACTTTTGTTCCTTCCTCTTGGTCCGACGTGGCGTCGCTGCGGAACAAGACTGTTTTTAACCCTCTGACATACGTGACGCAGAATACAGTGGTTCATATCCTGAACGACGGCTTGAAGAAGCCGAATGTGACCGTGACGCAATTGAAAACGCCCGAAACAGACACGGCGGCCGCCGATCAAGCGGCTTCTTCGGGATCTTCCTCGGGGTCCTCGGGGTCCTCGGGACTGGCACAAAGACCCAACGTTCACATAATGTTCACTTCTCAGAAGGACGAAGATAAGGGACCTCCCAAGCAGGAGAACAATACTTTCTCTTCGACCGACAACGCGAACTGCCCGACGATCATGATAAACACTTACACTCGAGTGAACAATACGATTCAGAGCAAGGAAGGGTGCACCGATCTGAACATAATTGTCAACTCGCACGTCTCGAATACAAACGTGTTCACGCCAAGTGGTACACCGGCGATCGCGGGGGATCAGCAGACCTCATTGGCGACACAGAGCTACGGCGGCGCGGACGAGAGCGAGAAATACGCCGAAGCGTTCACCGATCTCTTCCATGAGGATTCTCTGAACAGTTACGTAACCGCGTCGACTGGAACGTACAACCCCGGCCCGCTCGAGACGCCGCAACCGGGCCAACATAACTATTACGATTCCCAGAAAGATCCCAGCGAGATCCCAGCCCAGTGGAACGATCCCGTTCAGTCCCCGGGACTGTCGACCGTCGAGGTGTTCCAGGGCACTCAGATCAGCGTGTCCGGCTCGAGCGTTCCGTTAGCGGACGCGGAAGCGACGGCGAGCCCCGCCGGATCGTCCGTCGACGGTCCCACTGCTGGTTCCGGCGTTTCCGCGAGCGGGCCACCTGTCGCCGGGAGTCTTGACTCCGAAAATCCCGCTCAGGACTTGCCCGTGTACTTAGTCAAACCTGGTCCGGTGAAAGGTCAGGCCAGTGGCGGTCTAGGTACCTTGCAATTGCCGAGTCTTCCCAGTCGACCTAGTATCGCAGTTAATCCCGCCGCTTTATCGAGCATTGCTAGTCAGGCTTCGTCGACTTCAGGCTCTTCGGGATCGTCGTCCAACGACGACGACGACGACGACGATGATGATGATGAACTGTCGCCAGGCAGTGTATTGGAGTCAATGGCTTCAGTTTTCACGTACTTTTCCTTCTTAAATCCGGTGGGTTACGGCTTCTTCAGCCTCGCCGCGGCGCCGTTCGCCGCAATGGCAGCCGGCGTGCTCGGCGTAGCCGCGGTCGTCTTCCCGTGGGCGATACCGAGCGTCCTCGATTTCGGGCGTTCCGCCCACAAGACGATCAGTTTCGCACCGAATCTCGAGGAGTTCGTCAGGCGAGCCGTGCACAAGTACGATCGTCTGAACGAGTGGAAGAGTAGACGTAGGAAGCGCAGAAGATGAATCGCACTTCGATTGATCTTGTAACGCTCTTGGTGATCTTCGGATAAGTAGGAGAGCCATGGCACAAAGCTTGTATGAAGCAAGTACGCTCCCGTTTTTAGAGTTACCTTAAATTGGATGAGATTTACAAGACATACCGTAATGACCGTTTGCATCGTACGGTAACGGATTGAAAATGATGCGTGGTTAGTAGGAAAAGCAAAGAGAGAAAATAGGTAGATGATTATGTTTGTTTTAAAACATTATATGCTGATGTAGCGCATATAATGATAATACAGGATAATCGTATGGTATTTTCCATCATTAAGGGTGAAGTTTACTTTATCCTGAGTGGATAAGATAATAAATAAATATAATAATTAACAGTTCTCACATCCGTCCTTCATAAATATAATTTGTGTAAAATAATTAAGATGATTATATCGCAAAATAATATATTTTTGTATGTTTAATAGCTTTATTCTTTTACGCCAAAAGTAGCGTGGTAAGAAAATACTTGCTATTTAATTAATTAATTTATTTATTATAATTACATAGATAGGATAATCAGTGCAAACTCATTGACTTAATATTTTATTACGTTACTATTAATAATTATTAATTCACGTTATATTACTATTTATTTATCGCTAATATGATCATGTGTAGAATAATGAGAGTATTGCGCTTTTTATTTTATCGTATCGTGTATTTATAAATTCTATGTGTAGTATTAAAAAAAGATGCTCTGTTTATAATATTTAATATTATCTCTTTGCGGTCTAAATTTCTCATAAATGAGCGAAGATCAATTATCTCGTTCCTAATTTCATCTCACTGGCGAATTTAAATCAAAGAATTTTTATTATTTATAAAAAAATTTGTGGAGGTCGCAAAAATGTAGTTTGCTAATTATAATTGTGTATGGATTCGAATGTTTAGAGAATTACCGTGATAGACCGCAAAATTATGTCCAGCTCGACATAAGACTGCAAAGAGTTATGATTAGCGTTTCCTATTATATTGGTACTTTAACTTAATTAAATTTTACAGTATTTCAGGGCATTAACAGTATTTGTGCCAACGAATATGTAATGTTAATAAAACATTCAGAACAAAAGATTAATACTTCATTGGGCGATCATATAATTTTTTACGCCTTCATGTATGTTATATATAAAAATATACGTTCCTATCTTTGTACCTACCATCCTTTTAAATCCTGATCTATTATATATTACCATAAAAATATAATAACATTTATCATAAAGAGAACGCTAATTAAAATTATAATTATAATGAAAAATTATGCGATATTTGATTATTACATTTACACTTCATTTAATCATTTAATTACTTAAGCATATCAAAAACAGAAATAACTTTTACTCCATCAAGTTTAATCTTATGTTACCTTTTTTTATAGCTTAAAAAAATTTATTATATGCTTGAAAAAACTCAAACTTTTGTTAAACTAAAATTTATTCAAACTAAAATTAAAATAGAAATAAACCAAAGATTACAGTTTTATGGTATCTATTTTTCTTCTTCAAAAATTTGATTCACGAAAATCTCTAAATTTTAGTTGCTAATTAATTAAAAACTATTAATGGTTATAGATATCTCTGATAACAGAAAACAACTTAAAATTACCTTTAATCTAATAATAAAGAAGTTTCAATTTATTATAGGTTAATCTTTTTAATTCATTTATTATGTAAAATACATTGTAGACACGTCGACACGTGTAATAATTTATTCTAAACTACATTGTTTTATTACACTATTGCTTTCTTATCTTACATTTAATTATATTCATGGAGCTTGACAGTGGTGTCAGTCTTTTACTGCGCAAATCAAGCCTTAATTATTGCACAGAAAAGGTAAGAATAATGTTCAATAACATTAGGCATTTTTGCTAATCTTTTGGTTCATCCAGCCATATATACTTTTGTAAAAATTATTTACAAAAATGTATTTATCAAAATTATTCACAAAAAAGATATTCATACAAATTATTTATAGATGAGAGATGAAAGAGAGAGCAAGAGAGAGTGTATATGTGTGCATCTTATTATTTTATAAATTATTAAAATCGTGATTCAAAACAAGATGAAATGTCATCATACAATAATTATCGCAATATGATATGATAGATATAAATCTCTTATATATATAAAATCTGATACTACGTCGCGTTGATAATGCGATGATTATTTAAATTGGGAATACTCTGCGAATCTATATTTCATTGCTCCTCAACAAATCTAATGGTGAAATTTTATTTCAGCGAACAACTGAACGACACCCACCGTGATTTGAAGGATCTGCAATATATGGATCAATCTCTGAGAACCGTCGCCACTCAACTCCTCAACGTTACAAATCCACAAGATGTGATGAAGGTAAATAACGAGGAACTCGTCAAGGCCGAGCCTAGCGTCGCGACTACGCCGAAATCCTCGGAGAAGAACACCCCTTCGTTGATAAGGGACGTTAGTTCGGAGACCAGCAATTTGGAGCCCGTGAGTTTCGGCAGGCCGATCAATTCCAAGTTCAGCTACTTTGAGACCAGCCATCCGGGTCAAGCGATGGCGATGACGGAAGAGGAGCTCGAGCGGGAGATGAGCACGACGAGGCTGATTACCGCCTACAAAAATCACCCGACGACCACCGGCGGTATTTCTACTTGGATTCTGTTAAATCCGCCGTCCACAACTGTGAAGAGCGTGGAGATCGAGAAGACAAAGACGCAGCAGCCGTTCCAGACGGAGGTACGACTCACGGTGAGACCGAGCTCGTCGGTCGAAAAAGTGGAAACGATCCCTGAAAAGATCATGGAGAAGACCACACCACTGTTGACGCCTGTTATAACCACCGAGAAAGTGACCGTGATCACGAAGAAACCGACCGCGACGACGATGAAGAAGATCGCGACTACTTTGAGACCGGAGAAAATTACTCAAGATTCAGGAAAGGTAGAAACCTCGTCGAGCACGACTTTGAAGATGACTCACACCACGACAACGAGCACTTCGACGACGAGCGACGGAACGTTGACGACTGTTGTCACGACAAAGAAGAGTCCACCGCCGAGAACCACTTCTAAGCCGAAAGTCACCACGCCGAGAACGACCTCGCATTCTAAGGCGACGACAACGAAGGTGACAACGACGAAACCGGCCAGACCGAAGCCAACGAGGAAAGCCACGATCAAGCCTGAAACAACGAAGAATGAGACTTCTGCGTCGACGGGTAAGATCGAAAAGGTGACCTTTAAACCGGTCCCGATCATCACGACCCCGCAGAACAAGCAGGAGAATACCGAGAAGCCGTTGTTTGTTACAAAGATAAAAGCGTCGGTGCTCATGGACACTCAGAAGACTCCGATCACTTTGCTTCCAGCTACTACCGCGTCCACCCTAAGCGCCAGTGCGTTGAAATCGACTTTGTCCAGCGCGGATCTTGTGGAGGTGCCAGTGAGATCGAAACCGATCGGCACAAAGGGGAACAACGTGCTGAAGGTGCAGCTGAAGAAGCCCGTGGACGAGACTACGCAGATTGAGATAGAGCCGATCAAGGTAAACGCGCCGATCCTGAAGATCGAGAAGGTCGACAAGAACAAAATGGATGAGATCGTGTTGAAGGACACGGAAGATCTTGACAATTCCAGAATAGATCTAAAGTTTGACTTTAATCCCGAGCTGACCAAGATTAATGTGGAAACACAAACGGAGGTAGCGACGACATCGGCGCCAAGTACGACAGCGTCGACCAGCACGAAGCGGCCGAGGCATAGCTCGAAAAGGAAGAAGAACAAGAATCGCAGGCGCAGGCCCACGACCTCGATGCCAACTTCGACGACAGTCGCGATGGTGCCTATCCAGATGGAGACCAGCGAGAGCGTTACTGATTCCACCTACGTGGATAACGAGGTCCAAGAATCGAAGATCGCGCCCGAGACAAAGGTCGGGAATTCGACGAAGACCAAGAAGAAGCAGCCGCAGAAGGCGATCGGCACTCAGATCTACAACTTCCTCAGTCGCGAAGTGATGCCCAGCTTCGGCGTCATGTCGCTGGTAGGTCTAGGTCTCGGTCTCGCCTCGTATTTCCTGTATCCCTTCGGCGGTACGATCACCCGTAGGAACTATGAGGTGGAGCCGAACTACAAGTACAATATGGATGAATACGGCGGTAATTACGGGCAGAGCGAGGAGGAGATGTTGTCCAAGGTGTTCCAGGGTATGACGAATTACGAGAATAAATATTCGGGAGGGAAGGACAGCTACAACAACGGCAACTACTATCAATATCAGCATTACGATGGCGCGTACGACACTCAAACGACGAAGAAGGTCGACTCGAGATATCCGCCGGTGTCTACTTCTCCCGTTTACAAAACAGTGGAAAACACCAAGCCGGCGGTGAAGTATCGGAACACAGAGTTTCGGTATCCCGAGGCGCAAACTACTCCGGTTTATTACGATCGCAAGCGACCGGATCTCGGAAGTTCGGCGGAGGTGAACGCGGGCTCGGCGGCGAATCGGCAATTCGTGGTCGGCAACGTACCCAAGGAATATCCGTTCGACGTGAAAGTGTCGAACTTGCCGGTGGACAACAAGAAGGGCGTCGGTTACGTGTCTACGGAGATCGGACAGACGCAGTTCGAGAGGGACGTTGCGCAGGGCTTTGATTTCCCGAACGCGGCCGCCTTGCACAGCTATGGCCAGGCGCATCTGGCAGTATCGACTGCCCGACCAGACGACGGATATGAGGAAATTGAGATAACGCCGACCGCGGTGGCCGTCGAGCACGGGCCGCGATCCCTCAAAGTCAAACGCGCCGCCGTTGACGAGGCCGAGGGCAGTCGAGGGCGAAGTTCGAGGTTGAAGAGGGACTCGGTAATACAAATAATACCGTCGAAGCACGAACTGGAAGAGGAGCGCGAGGAGGCGGAGAAGGAAGAAGATCTGAGCAACGAGATTCTGGACATCATCGATTCGGCGCTGCCGGGTGGCGGGATGCCGCACAAGAGGGGCAGCAACGAGAACAACGAAGTGGAGGATCTCGAGGGGCAGAAAAGAAAGGAGGAGGAGGAAGCTAACACTCGCGTGAAGGCGTCCACTTTGAAAACCAGCGTGGAACACACGGAGGACCCCGCGACCCCCACGATTGGAAAAATAAATGAAGACGGTAGCAGTGTCTCTCCGGAGAATTCATCCGATAAGGGTACGACGCATCCCACGGACCTGAAAAATCCCGAAGCGACGACCGTCGAGTGGTTCGACGGCTCGACCACGACGAAACCCTCGGAGGGCTTCAGTCTCATAAATTTCGTGAAGAAGGTGGCCGAGATCAAGTTCAGACTGGGTTTGACGATTCTCAAGCACGCCAGCGAGGGCTTCGCGCGGTATCTAGGTCACGTGCAGAAGAGGATCAACGGCGAGGAATGAGGGGAAGGGAAAACTTGGAGGAGCAGCGATGGAAGTTCTCGCGTCATACGACGACACGCGTTTCCCAGTTTCACGGCGCAATACGGTGGACACGCGGGTCCACCGTGTAACGCCGGATAGTAGCGTGACGACGACCGTAGTCCTAGTAACGGTAGTCAGAGGGAACGCGAAGAAGCGACTCTCCCCCTCCCCGACTTCTTCGCAGTCGATTTAAGACGCGATTTCACGGACAATCATTTTTGTCCATCCGTAAACGATGCGATACGATACGATACGCGATCGTCCTTTCACTTAGAAAGCTAAAACGACGAAGAGGAACATAGACTACTGTTCCGATCACTGAACGCGCGGCGTCGTCCTCTTCAAGGTATCGCGAAATGTATCTTCTTCTAGGATTTTTCTCGGTGCTCGACGCGCGAAGGATCGACAATCGACGGCGATGGCCTCAACGCCTATTTCACACAATCATTGTTCAAAAAAACTTCATTCGATTAACACAAAGTGTCTTAACTTTAGTCTTCGGGTCCTGGTAAGCGTGCACGGAATGCAACTCGACACGCGCTATACAGCGTGATAAGATGCATTCTAGGGGTACTTTGTCGAAACCAGAACGATCGAGATAGCCGCGGGTTTGGTGAGGGGTTTCGAGAGATTTTTTTCCTTTCTCTCTCTCTCTTCCACACACGGGATCGATTGGATCTTTATTAAAAGTCGCTTTTTAATCTCTCTACAATTGTTTGGTATATATGCGCGCTGCTCTCTTACCCTCTCGCTGGAGGGCGAGCGAAGACATATGGTGGAGCCGATTATTGGGCAGCTTATACTGTAAAGTACGCTATATATAACTAAATAAATAAAACAAGTTGAACGAATAAATAAATAAATAGATAAGTATGCAAACTCTCTATGTAATACCCTGATATGCGCTATGTAAATAAATATTGGAGAATGTGAACCGCTTGTGTCTCTCTCGTAACATTGATCTTTGAAGCGGAAAGTTGCCGCGATTACTTCGAGTCGTACCTGGGAGAAAAATACCGAACAGTCCGATATGCCGTTGGATCATAAACGAACACAAATTCGACAATTTATGACGCAATTTAATTTGTTGCAGATAGAGCGCTTATCGCATCGCGGAATAAATCGGGAATTTACATTCGCCGACGCGACGATGTTCGCGATCAAGCGTAAAATATGAGATGATAAATATTCATGCGGATGGCGATAAAAGTCGGAACGTATTACGTTTTCTTTTATACAATCGCGTTGTGCCAACGGCAATTTAAATGCGGTAATCCAAAACGAAGAACTAGCAAAGTGGCGCTCGGAAATTATTTTTTTCCTTTTAACCGCGATTACGATGAACTTTTTACCCTTAATTTCGCGCTTTACCCCAGTGACTACGAGAACAGCAACAGGTATTCTAAATCGATCGTGCTTATACACTCGCCTGTAATAGGGATACATTGGTTATTCAGAAGCGTATTCAGTATTGATACGCTGTCTATAGTCTAACTGATTAATATATAATGCAATATCTTGGAAAATGGTTTGCGAAATATATCACTTGACTTCAGATCCAACATGCGATTAAAATGTAGACTCTATCTCTTCATAATTCGGAATTGAAATTAATTTTCAATAGACTTGAGAAATATACGCTATAAAAATACGAGAACGTGTATAAGTGTTCCAATAATACTGCCATGTCATATATATAATGTACCGTTTGGTCGTTCAATTTAATGACACGGAACAGATGCGTAGTCGACGCGAAATCAATTTCCGGGTGAACCATTTCCGTTTCTGGACCCTCAATGTTTTGTCCTGCATCCCAACGTAATTCGCATGTATCGTGCGCGTGCGCTGCGTTCCTTATCGTTCACCCTATCGTTCCTAATGAGTTCTTCGAACGCGAATTCTGCTATCATAATTCCTACGGTCCTACTGGTCTCTTTAGTTGAACGTTATACTCCCTCGTGAGCTTATGCACTTCGAGATCGTTGTTCAGGGTGTGTTCCATCAGTCTCAGATCTCTCTTTCGACGACCCAGCATTATCGGTAGCATCATCGCCATTGTCGCCGGAAGCATACCTGTTATTGGACAAATGGTATGATAATTAACAAAATTAATTTAAATAAACATACAAATATTCAGCAATTTAAATTCTCGAGATATATATTACGCACATTAGATTAAGTGTATTTTTATCACGAAAAGTTGCTCTTTGTTGACGTGAATAATGTAGGAATAATTTAAATAACATTAAATTCACTTTTGCAATATGTAATTGGAAATTTGAATAAAAACGTTGAAATTATGTATACATATATTGTTATTTACATATTAATGATTTTTTATTTTTCGACTAAACCGAATATTTAAGTAATCAATCTCATTAAATGTCAAAAGAATTTAAAGCCAGTATATCTCTTTTTACGTTAACTCGATATGTAAATCTTGTCAGGGACAAGCAATTAATATATTTTATAGTACATTTTAAGTTATTTTGAAGTATATTTTAAGTTGATTTGTTACAGCCGTACCTGCTCCGACGGCTGCTAAAACGGCCGAACTCGACGGTTGTGTGCTCAGGGTGTGCTGCCTGATTGGTCTTTTGTTCAGGATATTCGGTACGGTCGACAGCTTCTCCATCTCGTACTCCTTGCGGCTCTGTTCGACGCTCTTGAACGTCTTCTCGACTTCCAGAAGGCCTCCGTGGGACGTCGTCGTGTTCGTGCCGTTGATCGATGGCAACACCGTCAATCTGACCTAGGTAAACGATCTTTCATAAAGCGGCCGTCAGCGATATCCCCTTTGTCAATCAATCTCCACGTCATTAACAATAACTATCTTCGCGAAATTAAATCATCCATGACATTTTAATTATTGTTCAAATAACGGCAGATTCGTCAAATTGAAAAAATAAAAACTGCTTGACGCGAGGTAGGGGACATACTTTAGCTAAATTACAATCAATACTTGATCTCTCTTTGATCATCTAGCCTAACCTGGCGTTTCGACGTCATCACAGCTATTGCAGGATCTTCATCTTGTTTTCCTCCGTTTCCGCGACCTGTCGTGTTGACCCTCTTGAACGGGTCTGCTGAATTTATCGCGTCGAACTTGATTGATCTCTGTCTCGATTTCGCATATCCCCGGTTCGACGATAAGAGGACCCACTGGCCGTCGCCGCTCGCCGGATGACTCGGCGGATGATTGTCCACGTACTGATAATGCGAGAAATTCGGCCTCTCGGTAATCACACTGGGACGAGGTCGAGCCTGATCGTATCTGGACGGGTAATCGTGCCAATTGCTTCCGTCACCCGATTGGTCCTTGTCCGAATATCTATCGATAAATTGATACGAGGCGGTCTGCGGTCTGGACCAAGTGCTGCTGGGGAAATTGGACGGTCTGTCGTCCGTGATGATATCGCTGTTGGGACGATGAGGGTCGTACTTGTTCCAGGACGGTTTCTCCGGCGGCCACTTCTGCGCCTGATTAGACGCGTCGTCAGGGCGGTATGGGGGACGTGAAATTGGTTTCTGCCACGGCTTCTCGTTGTTCTCGGGCCAATTGGGTTTTGGCTTGTCGTACCTGTGATACGATCGTTTATTTTTGCATTTGCTTAAAGCCGATATTTCGCCGAGAAACACCTTTCGTGTAATATAAGATAAAAATAAAAAATATATCTAATTAATAGACTGATATAACGCAATTTTTATCTGGAAGACTTTTGATAATAAAAAAAATTAAGTCTTGAGATCTTTAGAAGATGTTAATAAATAAAAAAATTCATTTGCATCTTTTGCACAAATTGGCTTTGTTATGCAAATAAAGGAATAAAGAAGTAAGAAGTGAATCAATTTCTACGAGACTTTCTGATTATACACTTCTTAATATTAATGTAGAGAGTATCGCGTAAAATGAGGTATATCGCTGAACTTTGTAAACAGCTTGCAAGAAAGAAAGTTTCAATTGGACGCTAACAATAAATATCTCTCGTCATAATAACCACGAAACCTATTTTCAAAAATTGTACATAAGACCGCGTAATGAAAGGAAAATTAATGGTTGTGGTACTTACCACGGTATGTTGTTTTCATAAGTGGGTCTGATGGTAAAGTCACTGGCCCATGGTTTCATGCTCGGTTTATCCCATGGCTTTATCTCTGGCCAAGGTCGTTGCGTGCTGGGATTGGCCTGCCACTTGGAAATTTTGCTCTTAGACCACGGAATTGCTTCCAGCGTCACCCAGCCGTTTCTGTTATCTTCATAATTGTTCGTGCCGTAGTACTTGTTTCTCTTCAAGGTATCGTTCAACGCCTCGCTTAACTAAATCAGCAAAAATAATGAAAAATTAACCAACATATTCTTTGTTATCTAACAACAAATTATATTATAAATAGCACGGAATTTAAAATTATTAAAATATCCTTTCTTGGCTTTTTTTTTAAATTCAATTATTCTAAAGACAAAATATCAATTATTTTATCTAAAATATATGGTTCTTACCGCATCATCCGTTGAAGTAGCATTTGAGATCTGATCAAATTTCTCGCCCTGTTCGTGGCTGGTCGTGGTCTCGGTGGTCTCGCTGTCGATTTCGAGAACGAGAGGTTCCGCGGGTGGTTTCACGATTCTGAAGGGATATTTGAAATTCCTCTCGGTAGTGGTTTTAACTTTGTTCGCATATTCCTCGAGAAACTTATTGAGCACGTCCGGATTGAAGGTCGAAGATTCGACAAAGGAATTTCTTCGATTATACTGATCGCTCGATATCTCTTTGGTCATTCTCCCGTCCTCGGCTTGGTGCTCGTTCCCCGCGTTATCGTACAGAGGATTCGGCGTGATCGCTATCGGATCCTGAAGAATCCTCAAGTTGTCCGCCTTCGTTCTAAACATCTCGGACGCGTTCGTTCGCATTTTCACGAAGTACCTTGTGCTAGCCAGCGAACCTCCTGACGTCAAGATCGTCAGGAGCAGGCATACCGCTCCTCTTGTCGTCATCTGAAACACGAGGAACCTTATTTCGTACCTCATCTCTTAGAATTTTGTTAACAGAATTCTCGCTTTTAGTTACTTAATATTATTACAATAGATTTGTTCAAAAATGCTTTTATGGAGCCTCATCTCTAACGCGAAGAAAAAGAGTAGTAAATCGCGTATTAATAACTGTCAGAAAACTACATTATTCTGAAAATGGCATTAAATATAACGAGGGAAAACGACGGCTATAAAAATTGATAAATAATCAGCGGAATCACAATGAAGTCGTATACTAGTCGGAGTTAGAGTTTTAGAGAAACAGTTAGAGAATTACTATTCTCGTCGAGATCACTGTCATCACCCGGCCTCAGATAACCGCCCCGTAACTTCGCACGTCGTTTACTTAATTCTACGGAATTCTACTATGTGATTATAACGCGATAGAGCGCCGAAGGAGAACGAACAATTCGCGTACACTACGTGTCGCACTGACCGTGTCGATATTAGTCGTCCGAGTCGCCTTCAATTACATGAACAACTAGGCCCGTGTGTCGCCGCTCGGAGATCCGTTAGCAGGAACTGCCGCGCAACGCGTGCGCCGGGGTACGGAATGACAGTGGTAACAGTAACAGCAGCAGCAGCAGCAACAATAACAGTAACAACAACAGTAACAACAACAACGACGACGACGACAACAGAGCGACGTTACGAATGCGGAAGTGGAGTACGTCGGCGACCTCGACTCCTCAAGGTCCGAGATGGCTCTGTTGCTGAGACGTTGCCCTCGTTTGCTTTTAATCCAGATCCCCACTTCGTCGGTGCTTGGTCCATTTTGCATCTTCCTCCGTTCCCCGTGGCCGTTGTGTTATTCCGTGTCTTACCTCCTTGGCTTGGTCAACCTGGAGAACGGGCGCCACATTGTCTCTCCTTCTCGCCCGCGATTTCCGCGCGTGTCCCTTTCTCTCTTCCCATCTCGCGGTTTCTTCCTTTCTCGCTCCAGCCGCTCCATCCCACGCCGGCGGTTCCCCACGGGGATTTTTTCTCTTTCGCTCCTGGATAACGATCGTTCTTGGAATACAATGAAACAACAATGGGAGGCGAGGTCAGTCATGCCGGTCACGATCGATGATCGATGAGATCGAGCCCATCACTCTGGCCTCCGACAAGTGAGCGATGTCTGTATTTTTGCGCGAGACACACTGTTTGTACGTTATGTAGGACCGCGAGACGTATAGCGGTTTCCAAGGCATTCGCTTTTCTAACAGCCTCGTAGAATGGTTGAGATACGAGACATTTTATATTCTTGGATATATATTTATTTATTTCAGAATGCCTCGCTTTCGCGTGAATTTCTGTAGGAATAACGAGCGCTAGATGACTAGAGTAAAACGATGGAGATGGAAAGTTCTCTCAAATGAGGCTGAAACGTCTTTCTAATTCTGTTTACATGGCAAATATATATTATGGTACGTTTAGATATTAATATATCCTAATTAGTCTATGATCTTAGAATCACAAATACGCTACGTATATTGCACTATTAAAAAATTTATTTGTCGGTTATAAATAAAATTCTTAAACATTTCTTATGTTTTTATTCGTCGAGATTACTGGGATCTCCGTTAACGAATCTTTGATCGATCCGCTTGTACGTTAAAACAATCACTTCGACGAGTTATTATTTACAATACGCTTTCTCACTTATCAGCATCTCTAATCAGACACACTTACAGCGTTGCAAAAATCCGGACGATAATTCGAGACGCGCGTCTAACGCATCCGGACGAAGGAGCAACGAAACGATCGTACGCAACCTGTCTTCAATCTTGCGGCGATTTTAATTGCCCTGTCTTCGATCTCCGCGGCGATTTTAATTACCACTCTTGATGGGATTGTTCATGCCGCATAGCGATAGCGAAGCGAGCGAGCGAAGACGTTGCCGTGATTGACCGAGAAAACTCAAGTGGCGCGTAGCTGATCTCCGATCATTTCCCGTACTCGTCTCGTTACTTGTACTCGCATTGTCCTCCTCCCTCGCTTCGGCGAGAGTCGTATTCGCCGACGTTGGAAAACAACGTGACAATGAGAAACAGACCCAGACCGTTGGTGTCACGCGCTAATTGCGGCGCTCGTGACAATGAGGGTGACGACAAGACGACGGGCGTCTCATTGTCGCCCGATTCTGTGTCGCGTCCCCGACCATCGACAGTGTCATTTTCACGTGAGTTTTACCTTTTGTCAAATCGCTACTTTCACCGTTTACACGGTAGAACTCACGTTCTGACGTGGGAGTTGCTCTCTCTTCTATGCCGCGGCCTCCTCTAGGCGCGGCACCGCGAGTAGTTTCGGCTGCATCAGAGAGATCGCGTATGGGAATCCATCAGGAATCTCAATCCTTTCGAGACTGATTTCCTACTTTGTTTGCCGTTGCCGATTCCTACAATAGAGGTGTAAAACACGAACATTTTGTAAAGAAATTCTAAATTTATTCAAAAGAACTTGTTAGTATTATTATAGTTAAATAATTCTAACACAATAATCTCTTTTGGCATAAGTAAATATTACTGTTTTAATAGGAGAAACTATTTATTTACAATAGTATATTATATTTATTTACTTTATTTATATATACATGTATTGTAATAATATACATATATTATACTATACCATATTAATAGATATATTGTATATTATCTATTTGCAAGTCAAATGCATGCGTATCGCGGTAGTACAGAAAATGATGTTTCTGGCTAAATGGCCGCACAATTAAGGACACGCCGACACGATGCCGGCGTGAAGGACAAAGAAAGCCGTCGTTGATTTTCATGCTCGGCAAATCGTCGATTTGGCCTTCTTCGACGTACAGTAGACGGAATCGGATCGGCGAACAAATCGTAGAATCGGCCGTTTACCGATTTTTGCGCTTTCGCGGCCCAGAAACCTCCGTCGTTCCTTTTTTTTCCCCTTTGCCCGTGCCTTTACCTCTCACGTCGCCGATGGTGATTCCTGCTCGTCGCGCGAGTGAAACGCGTTCTTAACAGTTTCCGTTTTACGAGCAGCTTCCGATTCTTCCGCCAGATTTTCACCGATCTAGGATTTTTTTGCCTGGCGCCGACCCAGAAACGGACGATTTCTTTTCTCGTCTCCGTCGAGCAGCCTACGCTCTTCCACCGATTTCCGCGTATATCTGCGTATGCAACGCATTACGCGTCGTCCCAAACAAAATCAACAGACGTGTCCACGTTATGTCATCGTATATTCTTCATTTTCTGAAGTTTATTGCCGATAGCTCAAGAATTTGCATGCTGGAAAGTCTTGAATGTAAACTTAGAGCGTTAAATTTCCATTACAGCATTTCTTTTAAAATATTCGAAAGCCATCAGGGTATGAGTTTATCCAATTGGTCGGTTGATAGTAACGGATCGATCTTTGCTACCTTGCGAAATCAGGATAATTACGTAAAACAGGTTCTTCTTTCTTTCACTATGAATATAAAAATGAATTGGCACGTTTTCGGGATTACGGAGACGTGAGACGAATTTCTTTTACTTCTAATTCCGGTTACGAGGCGGTCAGCTAGCTTACTCGAAACTGGAATTAGGTCAGCCTAGACACCTAACCGCGAAAACAATTGTGACGACGCTGAAGAAAGGGTAGAACAGTCCGCGTATGTATGCAGTAAACGTCTACTTTCATTGTCGGTCGTATTAGAGGGAGAGTCGCGTTAACGAGAATGATATGAGACGAACTGAAAGGGGTGAAAAGATCACAGCGAGATCTAGTCCAGATGTCGGACACGCAATGATAGAAAGTTTCAAGGAAAGTATTTGTGTGGATTAGTATCAAATAATATTAGATAATTGTTAGATAGTTTCTTGAATATATATTTCAAGTTAAATCAGTTTTATACATTTGTTTAAAAAATATAAAAAAAGAAAAAAAACCTTTAAAAGAACCTTATAAAGGTAAAAAAAATGTACGCTAAGTACACAAAAAACATTTAAAACTGTGTATCTTTATGTACATAAAAATATCTATTAAGAAAAATTATAGAAAATAAAAGGTAATATAATCAAATATCCAGATTCTCGATTTGACGTTTCATAAATGTTCTTCTTTGCTCGATTTGTAAAATGTTTGCTTCGATCTTTAATGAATTGTCGATATTTTGTTGATAATTTAATAAAGTATCAGTAGAAATTGTTCATACAAATGTGAAGCCAATTGTACGAGGCAAAGCTGTTTGAAAGAAATGTAAACAGCTTGTGTAAAGTTACTTCTCTATTGTGAAATATGAAAATGTTAAGATCACCACGGAGCATATAGAACATATCGGTATGACCTCGCCACGAAACAGGGTCAGACTCTCACCGCTCGGCGATAAAACTTGGCTTAGAAAGTCTTTTCACCCCTTCCGCTCATTATACTCATGTTCCGCGAACGCTAGAGCAAGTAGCGTCTCGTATCTTACTTATGCAATTTAGCAGTCTGGTATGTTTCGCTCATTTCCATTCTACTGTGTGTGCCGCTGAATATTTCTCCGGAATTTTCTTTCATGAAGTCGTGTGAAATAAAAATGCAGAAAAGCGATAACGTCCAAGTCCTTCCATATATCAGTAATACCAGATAGTAACTGCTTGAGTGTTCAATCAAATTGCACAAATTTCTACCAGGGTATATAATTCCGGCTTATTTGCAAGTTATGTTTTTCCTACATTAGACCAAAGATTCACAAATTAACTTTCATATGTCTTGCACAATTGTATAGAAAACTACAGTTGCAAGAACGAAAAGACAAACTCGAAAATGAGACGAAAGGAGAAAGAAGGGTAATAAATTGATTACTTTCTCTTTGATTAATTGTTACCGATTTGATTAATATCTCAGTTTTATGTGAAATTGCTTTCAAACACACGATCTTGCTTCGTTGCGGCGTGTCATGCATTATGACGCGCTGCTTGAACTAAACGTCGCAACGCTCACTTTGTCAACTACAATTGGAGTGCGGACGACAAGCGTGG